GGTGTGCACCTGTAGTCCCAGTTACTCGGGAGGCTGAGGCAGGAGGATTACTTCAATCCAGGAGTTCAAGGTTACAGTGAAGTATGATTGTACCAGTGCACTCCAGCCTGGGTGACAGAGTGAGACCCTGTCTCTAAAACAATTTAAAAAAAGGTGCAGAATTTTATTATAGATTACTGTGCTATGTATTTTTGGAAATCATACTTTTAGGTAAAAGGTACAGCTTCCAGGAGAAGAGGCCAAAACAAACTATGAATTGCAGCGACCTAATCTTTCATTTGTATTACTCCACCTGCTACTGTTTCCCCCATTGAGCTGTTTTCTGAGTTAAGCTTAATGCCATGACAACCCCTGAGTACAAATGGCAGCCTTGACCCAACATGAGTAGATGGAGCCTTTGTTTTCCAGTTTTCATGGGTACCGATGGGCTTGGACTGAGCCCTGCCCACTTTGACCTCCCATATCGGGTACCCAGTGGTCAGAATAAGGCTTGTTGTCACTGACTCTAGAACACACCTTCCCAAGCTCCCAGATCTACAATGCAGGCTCAGGGGCTTGGAATGAAGACTCATTGTCGTAGTCTGTTTGGGCTGCTGTAACAAAACATTGTAAGCTGAGGTGGTTTATGAACAACAGAAACTTACTTCTCACAGTTCTGGAGGTCGGGAAATCCAAGATCAAGGCCCCAGCAGATTCAGTGTCTGGTGAGGGTTTGCTTCCTGATTCATAGATTAGCTGTCTTTTCACTGTAACCTGACATCATGGAAGGGACAAGAGAGCTCTCTTGGGCCTCTTTTAAAAGGGCACTAATCCCATTCACGAGAGCTCTACCCTCATGACCTAATCACTTCCCAAAGGCCCCACTTCCTCATACTACACCTTGGGGATTAGAATTTCAACATAGAAATTTTGGGGGGATACAAATATTCAGTTCATAGCACTTATATGGCTTGAAAATATGTCAGTAATTTGCTATCTTGTTAATAAACATTTATTTTTAAAAGTTTGAGAATTATAAAATATAGGACAAAACCCTGGATCTTTCACTCCTATCCTTGATTTAATAAGGCTTCAGTACACAAAAATGTCATATATTTGCTTACAATTCACAAATTCTGTGGTGCCAATAATTTATGAATAGGGCATAAGTAAGCAGCATAGAGAAGTCCTGGGAAGATTGGACATAGTGTGCCTGGCCTTTTAAAAGATAGCCATTTGAGCCGGGCACGATGGCTCATGCCTGTAATCCCAGCACTTTAGGAGGCTGAGATGGGAGGATCACTTGAGATCAGGAGCTCAAGACCAGCCTAGGCAACATAGCTAGACCTTGTCTCTACAAAAAAAAAAAAAAAAAAAAGAAAGAAAGAAAAACTAGCTGGGTTGTGGCAGTAGTCCTAGCTACTTGGCAGGCTGAGGTGGGAGGGATTGCTTGAGCCTTGGAGGTTGAGGCTGCAGCGAACCACAATTGCACCACTGCACTCCAGCCTAGGCAACAACGTGGGACCCTGTCTTAAATAAATAAATGCATGAATGAGAGAGAGAGAGAGAGAGAGAAATAGAGAAAGATAGCCGTTTGAAATGTGAGGCCACTGTCAGAGTTGCAAGGGGCAATCTTAAAGGCTCCAAGAAAGGATTAACCAGTAGAAATTGTTAGCATTTTAGCCAGAGACATCACATCGTTGATTTAGTTCATCTAAGAACAAGGATGCCAGTAAGAAACAGCAGAGTTAGTTTCCAGAGGTTTCTGAAGCAGTAATATTCTGATGGGATTCCTTAGAAGAGAGTTGTGTGTTTCTATGAGAGCAATCCTTAAGATGGAGAGAGAAGCAAATCTTAATCCACGGTATCTGAGTGTAATTCCTTAATTAAGCTAATGTAATAGCCTGGTGAAGAAAACAGTTTCAGGTGGAATTTGGACAGTCCTGGATTGACCATTGTTCTAATAGAAAAGCCTGTTGCTAGTCTAGTAAAGTAGTAAAGCTAAACTAAAAAATAAACTTGTCTACCAGTGATCCTGATATGATCACTCTGGAGACGTGAAGATTTGTAATGATAGTGTGCACACAGCACTCTGATTGAACACTAGGTTTTTAAGTAAACTGACTTAAATACCAGTATGCTGGGTAGTACTGTTTGGCTTTGCTTCATTTAGTAGGTGATGAATATTTTACTGTGTTTTTACATTAGTTCTGGCACATGGTAAGCCCTCAGTACATGCCTGCTGTTATGGTGATTATTATCACTTCCAGATCATCTCCTGGCCACAACACGCCAGCTACTGACTAGAACCTGCTGGCAATGTTAATAGTCTTCACTGGAATTCTGCAAAACCCCATCAAGAATTACCTAAAACTATCAAGATGATCTGTGGTTTTGCTTCCTCACTCTGCCAATATGGTGAATTACAGTAATTGATTTGTTTTGTAACATAGATATTCATATGTTAAGCCAGTCTTACATTCCTAAAGTAAACCCCACTTGGTCATGTTGTATTACCTTGTTAAAATATGTTGCCAGGTTCAACTTGGTCATTTACACTGGTAAGAAGTCAGGGGTGCTGTAATCCCAGCACTTTGGGAGGCTGAGGCGGGTGGATCATGAGGTCAGGAGTTTGAGACCAGCTGGACCAACATGGTGAAACCCCGTCTCTACTAAAAATACAAAAATTAGCTGGGCGTGGAGGCGTGTGCCTATAATCCCAGCTACTCAGGAGGCTGAGGCAGGAGAATCACTTGAACCGGGAGGCAGAGTTTACAGTGAGCCAAGATGGCACCATTGCACTCCAGCCTGGGGGACACAGTGAGACTCTGTCTCAAAAAAAAAAAAAAAAAAAAAGAGAATTCAGGGCTGTATGGTCATGGAGTTGTCTTTGCAGGAAGGTTCTTAACTAGGAGTTGTTTATTTAATAGATGCAGAGCTATTTGGATTTTCTATTTCTTCTTGAGTCACTTTGGGTACATGTTATGACTGGATCTACTGCTCCCCCTACCCCCAGCCTGGGATGTGGCTGCAGCGGGGAAGCTTCTCCCTTCTCTCAGGGTCACAGTCCAGTACTGCCTGTTGCCAATGTCTGAAAACAGTCATTTCTTACATTGTATCCAGCTTGCTAGATGTTTCTGGCAGAAGGGTGAGTCTGGGCTCTCTTCTACCACCATGGTGAGAAGTGGAAGCTACATAAGCTTTTCTGGGCATTGAGTACAACAAATTGAGTTGCTTCTGGTTGTTTCTCAGCCAGATCTTTAAGTTTGGACTTAAAACTGTAGGTAGTTGAACTTTACTTGGGCTCAGTCTTCCTTTAAATCTTTGACTATATTCCAAGTTACAGTTTCGCTGTCTTTCATACAAAAGTAATATTACTTTTAGAAATTGGACTCTATGACTAAACCTTGTTTTTCTCTTCATTTAAGTTTCCTTCAGCATTCGAGTTTAATGAGCTATTCTTGATTACAATTTTGGATCACCTTTATAGCTGTCTTTTTGGGACCTTTTTGTGCAACTGTGAACAGCAGCGATTCAAAGACGTAAGTATACTGCGTCCTTGTCTGTTGCTTTCCGTGTGGCTCAGGCACCTCTTCTAGGAAGTGCCACTGTAGGAGGGCTGAGGGGAGGGAGGACTGTGCTCTGGTGCTATTACTGACTGTAAATGCACTCCCAGGGTTCTGGCCAGCCCCACTGCATGTATCTAACACAAGCCCCTTCCTTTCTAGGCACGGGGGGCTGGGACGCAGCGAGCCCATGGCTCTTTCAGGAGTAGATGAGTGCTAGACCCTGGACCTCCTGACTCCAAGTTCATGTAGTCTCCACTGCACCAACTCCAAAGCTGTGGGATTCTGCTTTTCGTCCTCTGTGGTGTTGGCCAGATTGTACTTGAAGGCCTTGGAAATGGAGTCTGCCGATTGGCCAAAAAGCCCACTTTAGGTAGCAAGCTAACACTTTTTTACATCAAAGTAGTAAAGAAGCAGTTACCAAACTTTTCAGAGTTACGTCTCGCCTCTTTCTTTTTTCCTCAGTGTGGGATAGAAGAAAGACGTGGTCAAAAGTGAGAAGACATTGGAAAAAGGCAACTTAAGGAGTATGGTCCCGTTAATAGACAAGGACTACTGCCTGTGAGCCGAGTATGTTAGGACAATATAGAATTCAGGAGAAAACAGTCTGTCAGTAACACCCACCTCCCCCTCTCTCAGCAGCGTCCCCACAGTTGACAGCACCCTCATTCTGTGACCCCACCTTGTCCTGCCTCTTCCCTGCCTCCTTGGCCTCCCCTGCTCAGTCTCCTCTGACTGGCTGCCATTTTAACCAGTCTCTAAAGTTGGAGTCACCTGGGCCCAGTCCCAGGTCCTCTTCTCCCCTCAACTCTTGTTCTGTCTTTCTAGGTGACTTTGTCTTGCCTCAGGGACCTAAATGCCTTTTCCTGCTCCTCCCCTACTCAGTACACAGCACCACTGGCTATCCAGATGCCAAGGCCAAATACACAGGAGTCAGCTTCCACTCCTCCCTCACCCTCACTCTGGCTACCACACCCAGTCCCTTGGTGAATGCTGCTGACCTTGTCCTAAAGTATATGTATATATGTATATATATGTATATATATATATATTTTTTTTTTTTTTTGAGATGGCGCTTTGCTCTTGTTGCCCGGGATGGAGTATAGTAGTACGATCTCAGCTCACTACAAGCTCTGCCTCCCGGGTTCAAGCGATTCTCCTGCCGCAGCCTTCCGAATAGCTGGGATTACAGGCACCCACCACCACATCTGGCTAATTTTTTGTATGTTTAGTAGAGACAGGATTTCGCCATGTTGGGCAGGCTGGTCTTGAACTCCTGACCTCAGGTGATCCACCTGTCTCAGCCTCCCAAAGTGCTAGGATTACAGGCCCAAAGTATATTCTTAATCTGCCACTTCTTAACTGCCTTACAGCTATAAGCCTAGCTCAAGCCCCTACTGTCTCATGCCCCTACTGTCTCACATCTGGACTAAGGCAGAAACCCAGGAATGGGCTTCCCTGATTCTCTTTCTGACCTTCAGTAGTCCATTCTAAACATAGCAACCAGAGGGAGCATTCAGTAACTGAAATCTGATCATGTGCCTCTCCCCTGCTTCCCACTGCGGTTAGAGTAAAATCCACACTGCTGCAGGCCCAGCGTGATGGGGACTTGTTAACCTCCTAATAAAAACAAAAACATTTTTAAAAGAGTGATTTTATGTTATGTGAATTATATCTCAAAGCCATTTAAAACAAATAAAACCAGAAACAGAAGAATGAAGTTCATATATAGACTTTTAACCATGGTTTTGTCTTTTTTTTTTTTTTTTTGAGAGGAGGAGTGCAAAATTCATGCTTAAATGAGCTCTCTTGATACATAATTTACATACCGTAAAATTCACCCATCTAAAATGTACAATTTCATGGTTCTAGCATATTCACATATTTTGCTGCCATTACCAATATCTAATTTCATGAAATTTCTTTATTTTTATTTCTATTTTTTGTAGTGATGGGAGTCTTGCTATGTTGCCCAGGCTGGTCTCAAACTCCTGGCCTCAAGTGATGCTCCTGCCTCGGCCTCCCAAAGTGCTGGGATTATAGGTGTGAGCCACTGTGCCTGGCCTAATTTTATAAAATTTCTGTCACCCCCAAAAGAAATGGCATACTCAGTAGCAATTACTTCCCATTTTCCCCACCCTTATCCCCTAGCAACCATCAATCTGCTTTCTGTCTCTATGGATTTGCCTATTCTGGACATTTCATAGAAATGGAATTATACAATAGGTGAACGTCTATGACTGTCTTCCTTCGCTTAGCATAACGTTTTCAAGCTTCATCTATGTACCAATACATCCTTGTTATGACTGAGCAATATTCCATTATATGGATAGACTGCATTTTGTTTATCCATTCATTAGTTGATAGAAATTTGGGTTGTTTCCACATTTTGGCTTTTAGGAATAATACTACTATAACCATTCATGTACAAGTTTTTATGTGGACATATGCCTTCATTCATTTATACCTGCGAGTGGAATTGCCGGGTCATATGGCAACTATGTTTAACCTATTGAGAAACTACCAGATTGTTTTCCAAAGCAGTTGCACACACGAGCAATGTCTGAGGCTTCCAATTTCTCCACATTTCACCAACACTTACTATTTTCCTTTTTAAAAAATTATAGCCATCCTAGTGAGTGGGAAGTGGTATGTTGTGGTTTTAGATTTGCATTTCCCCAACGACTAATCATGTTGAGCATATTTCCATGTGCTTATTGGCCATTTGCATATCTTCTGTGGAGAGTGTGTATTCAGATCCTTAGTTCATTTTAAAATTGTGTTGTTTGTCCTTTTTATTATGGAGTTGTAAGAGTTCCTTATACATTCTTTGTATATTCAAGTCCCTTATAAGATACATGATTTGCAAAAATTTTATCCCACTCTATGGGTTTTTTTTTTTTTTTTTTTGACTTTCTTCATGGGTGTTCTTTGAAGCACAAAATGTTTTAATTTTGATAAAGTGCAATTTCTTTTTTCTCTTGCTGCTTACACTTTTGGTATCATATCTAAGAAACCATTGCTTAACCCAAAGTCATGAAGATTTGCTCCTATGTTTTCTTCTAAGAACTTTATACTTTTAGCTCTTACATTGAGGTCTGTGATCCGTTTTGAGGTAACATTTGTATACGGTGTGAATTAAGGATCCAACTTCATTCTTTTGTGTGTTGGCTTTCTAGCTGTCCCAGCACCATTTGTTGGAAAGATTTTCTTTCCCTCATTCAATTTTCTTGCCACCCTTGTTGAAGATCAGTTGACCGTAAATGTCAGAGAGTTCATTTCTGTGCTTTCTGTTCTGTTCCATTGATCTGCATGTCTGTCCTTACGCCAGCACCACTGGCATTGATTACTGTAGCTTTGTGATAAGTTTTGAAAATGGGAAGTATGAGTCCTCCTACTTTGTTCTTTTTCAGGATTATTTTAGCTCTTCCAGATCCTTTGAATTATTGTTGGTGTTTCTCTTATAAATAAATGTATAAAAATTGAAATGGTCCTAATTGAATGTTCCTGTATTTAGATAGCTCATGGGAAGTCAGCAGCAGAATGGGAGAAAATGCTGTTGGCCTTGCCATTTTCTCATTTGACTTTGTCGTGCTTGATCCATTGTTTAATATTTACCTGCCTCACCATGCCTGCACATTTGGGTGTTTTTGTTCAGATGAGCAATGCAAGTAGGTGCAGTGTTTCTGAATAGTGTACTACAAAATTAGGGGAAGAAGAGATAACTTAGTAATATATTTACTTGTCTTTATAAAGCTTCTCCAGCCTGTCACCACAGCACATTTTCCTCCAGATAGCTCTGATTTTCCAGCACAAGGAATCTTAACTGTAAAGTCTATTCTCATTTCTCAATATTAAGAGTCACAGCCGGGCGTGGTGGCTTGCACCTATAATCCCAGCACTCTGGGAGGCCGAGGCGGGAGGATCACTTGAGGTCAGGAGTTCAAAACCAGCCTGGGCTACACGGTGAAACCCCATCTCCACCAAAAAATACAAAAATTAGCTGGGCGTGGTGGTGTGTGCCTGTAGTCCCCAGCTACTCGGGAGGCTGAGGCAGGAAAATTGCTTGAACCTGGGAGGCCAACATTGCAGTGAGCCAAGATTGTGCCACTGCACTCCAGCCTTGGTGACAGAATGAGACTCCATCTCAAAAAAAAAAGGAGTCACAAAAGCTCTATTTTCTTTTAGAGGCAGAGTCTTGCTCTGTTGCTTAGGCTGGAGTACAGCAGCACAGTCATAGCTCACTACAGCCTCAAACTCCTGGTCTCAAGCAATTCTGCCACCTCAGCCTCTTGAGGAGCTGGGACTATACTTGGCTAATCTTTAAATTTATTTATTTATTTATTTTTTGTGGAGACAAAGTCTCACTGTGTTGCCCAGGCTAGTCTCAAACTCCTGCCTCAAGCAGTCCTCGCAATGTGGCCTCCCAAAGTGCTGGCCTTATAGGCTTGAGCTACTGTGCCCAGCCCACAAAAGCAAACCTTCCACCAGAATTGAAAATTGCATTTGTTGTTGGTGGACCCTGTCATCCTGTGGTTGTTAGAAAGTTCTCACTCTGCCTTTCCATAGCCACAGTTGTCAGATGCTACCTAACTTCAGCAATATGTTTTTCCAGGACAGCAAGCAGTGCGTTTTCATTCATCCCGCCATCAGGCCATGAGTGGGAAGAAGGTGGGGCTGGGACCTAGTAAATGTTCATGAAGTTTTCAGCGTTTGAATTCACTTCATTATTCAAGTCCTTTTCTTGGTGTAATACTAATTCTTGATGATGTGAAGAAGAGTTTATTTCCAATGTTCTTTTTTGTTTTTCAGGATGTATATACAAAGACGATATCTTTATGGTCGTATATCAATAGCCAGCTAGATGAGTTTTCTAATCCCTTCTTTGTGAATTATGAAAACCATGTGTTATATCCTGTTGCTAGTCTGAGTCATTTGGAATTGTGGGTAAACTATTATGTACGATGGAATCCACGGAAGAGACCTCAGGTATCTTTTTGTTTTTCTTTTCATGAATGAGAGAGTATGCTTTTTTTTCCAAGTAAAGATGGTGGTATGAAAATGTGTTAATGGTAGATATTAACATACCATACTAACGTCTTCTGCCCTTGCCTGTCAGGGTTCAATCCTTTGCATTCATGTTCCAGGAGGTTCTGCCCGTACACCAACTCTGATGCTGTTTGCTGGGTTAAAGTTAAAAACCTTAGCACTTCTGTCTCGTGCTGATGAGATACGTAAAATGCCATGTGTTCCAGTGCTTGACCCTTTGTCTTATAAACTACTTTACTGCAGGTCTGGAGGGTGAGGTGGCAGCCCTTCTCCCTGTTTCCACATAGACGTGGTAGAAAGACGTGGGAAATGCATCAGGTTACAGTACATAGACCCTGTTAGTCCAGCAGTAGGAGGGCAGGTTGCTGAGTCACAGAACAGGTGCTCCTTTGAAGAAGGGGGAGAGTTTGCCCCTCCCTGCCACACTTTTTCACTATAATATTTTCTGAGATTGAACAAAATTAGAGAATGGTGCACTACAGGGGCCAGTCCGCCAAGCCTGTGTCCTGTCTTTGTGTTCAGTGGCTGAGCTCTGGCTGCGGGTTCCTGAAGGGCTCCCCACATCCTCCACTGTGTTGTGGTTTGGATTCCGTCCTGCCCTGCACCCCCAATCTCCACCTGGGTGGCCAGGGCGTGATTGGTTCTGGGTGGTGAAGAAGACGGGTAGAGGCAGCCTGTACCTCCATGGACAGGTAACTGTCTGCTGAGACTTTTCTTTTTCTTATTTATTTATTTATTTATTTATTTATTTATTGTTTGAGACGGAGTCTTGCTCTGTCACCCAGGCTGGAGTGCAGTGGCATGAGCTTGGCTCACTGCAACCCCTGCCTCCCAGGCTCAAGTGATTCTCCTGCCCCGGCCTCCCAAGTAGCTGGGATTATAGGTGCACAGCACCACGCCTGGCAAATTTTTGTATTTTTAGTAGAGACAGGGTTTTGTCATGTTGGCCAGGCTAGTCTCAAACTCCTGACCTCAGGTGGTCCACCCGCCTCGGCCTCCCAAAGTGCTGGGATTATGGGCGTGCACCACTGGGCCAGGCCTGAAATTTTTCTTTTGAGTTGAATACTCTCAGAGTTTAACTGCAGTCCATCAGGAGCGTGTACGCAGGGCATTGTTGAACAGCATTGCTCTGTCAGCCAACGATACAGAAATCTGTCTTTCCTCTCCATCCTCCTGCTCCCCCATCCCTCTCACCTAGGGTATTCCTGATCTCCATATCATCTCCATGCTCCACTAGCCATGGGGCAGTCTGAACTGCTCATGTTCCTTTTCAGCTGCCTGGCCCTGGAACCTCAGGGATACGTCACTATAGTACCCCAGCCTGCCAGCTGGAAAGCTCCCTCACTGGTAGCCTTAGCTCCATGATCCATCTGCTGGGTGTGCCCCGCTGCCCCAGGCTGCTGCTTGGCCACTCCTTACTGGATCCTTTGCCCTCTACCACAGACCAGGCTGGTCATCACTTGCCTCCTCTTTCCCAGATGGCTTTCTGTTTTGTTCCACACAGCTTCTGCTGCAAATGCTTTTCTCCTCTGGACCCTCTGAGTTGGCCCTGCCACCCTTACGACCTCAGGAGTGTTTTCCAGAACACTGTGATCGGTGCTCACTCAGCCCAGTACTTGTACGCTGGGCCTGGGGAGGTGGGAAGGAGTCCTGGCTGTGGGGGAGCTCCTGCATCCCAGGGTTGCCCTTAGCCACATCTCCCCTGTACATGCCCTGCCCCTGCTTGAAGCAGATGCCCCATGTGAATGAGCTACCCTTTGTGTCTTCACATGTATGAAAACAACTAGTGTTTGGTCACCTCTTTCAGCTCTTCCCACAGTCTTCCTTGGATAGGAGAGACTTGCATCTGTGTCCCCTTCCCACTAGCCAGGGAGCTGCTGGGACTCATGCTGCCCTGGAGCCTTTCCTGTTGAGCGCCCTCTTCTCTGTTCACCTCGTGCTCTGGTGGCCCTATGTTTATTGCCCAAACTAGCCTACTTTGAGAAAGAGAGCGGAGGTGCTGGTAATAATCGGTCTGCAGAATTCCCCAGGGTATTCAATACTGCACTGGCGTATTTGCCTGCCTGCTGCTGCACCTACAGACCACAGGCTTTGAAACCACAGGGCCCTCAGGATCTAACATGGTGTTTGGCAACTAACAGAGACTCGACAAATGTGACTGACTGAACGCATGAGTGAATGAAGAGGCGCGCCCCTCAGCTGCAGGCCAGTTCCTCCCGCACATCTGCTCTCTCCAGCCCCTTGAACCTGCGTTTATTCCTGCTACCTCTGGTGGCTCTTGCCCCTCAGCCTACAGAGGACTCACACCTGCCCACCCTAAACGTGTCCTGTCCCCACTGGCCTCTCCCTCAGGTCTCCCCTCCACACCCAATCCTCTGGGATATTGGAACAGCCTTCCACCTACTCTCCCTGCCGCAGTCTGCCTTGAGTCCACGTTCCACCTTCCTGTGGAGAGGCCTTTTGCTCCTGCTTGACAGCCCAGACATCACCTTCTGTGGCTGCCCAATGGCTCCAGCTCCCCACGTCCTCTGCCACTTGGCTACCATCTGAGCTTCTGGCATCATCTTAGCTTCCTTCTTCCTCTTTAAAAAAAAAAAATTACATTTCTGGCCGGGCACAGTGACTCACGCCTGTAATCCTAGCACTTTGGGAGGCCGAGGTGGGCAGATCACGAGGTCAG